ACACTATGTGCTACATACATGATATGAATGAAGAGGAAGATCAGTCTCTTGCAGAGCCCGAAAAGGGAAAAGATCAGTCAATAGCAAATATGGAGAATGAACGAGTGGAGGGAAATCAAAAACAGGGGTGCGAGGTGGTATTTGTGAAAGAGAGAAGGACTGGAATGAAAACTAAGTCCCCGCTAAATGTGCAACGAATGACCAGATCCATTGCTGAAAACAGAAAAGAAGAAAGCGCTAACATGACGATGTTTTGCAGTTTAGTGGAAAATTGTCTATGAGAAATGAACAACATCAAGCAAGATGCTGAAATTTTTGGATTCCAAACAAAATCTATCTTTAACAAAGAGGTTTGCCGCTTGGTTATCAACTTTGAGCAGGTTTCAAATTCAGTTGTTGAAATTTGGGAGAGGTAATAAGGTCTCATCTGGTATATATATGAAATTCAGTTGATTTAAAATCATTATTGTATTAACTTAAGGGAGAATTGATTTCACCAGGCCATCAAGGATAAATGAGTCTAGAAATGTGTGTACTTTAATAAGTGTAGAAATCTTGCTATACCATATATGGAGTACGATATTACTCCCTCAAAATAAACACTTATTATAGTAATGGAGATCGGTTGATATTACAGAAATGTGTTCCAGCATCAATAAATAATTTATTGATGGCGGTTGGACTTGATAGCAACCCCATCAAAGACAGCAACCCACTATCTCACTTATTACTGAAATCTAGCTATACCGACCAGTGTTTATAGTTATTACAATAATGATTTGTTGATATTACTCCCTTCCTGATGTTCCAGCTATTTATTGATAGCTTATTAATTTTCCCTTATAGTATGAAGCGGTAATAGTGTCTTATTATAGACATCAAAATGAATAAATTTAATTAAACTTGATGAGTAATAACTTAATAGGTACTTGCATGAGAAAATAGCAATACCAAAGAGTTACTAGGAGGTCACAATACATAGCCGATCTTTTGGATATTTCCTTGCTAGGACAAATGACTTTAATCCCTATAATACTGGGTAAGTAATCTACTTTGCAAACTTTTTGTGTCCTGCTTATAGTGCCTTTGGCAAGTGACTTGTATTTGCAAACAATGGTGTTTTTCTAATTACATATAGTTTCATTGTTATGTAGGGATCATTGGGTGTTGGTCGCCATCGACATGGCGGCTCAAACAGTCTACTACCTAGATTCCTTAGGAGGAATTCCATCAAGGATTTGGAGAAAATCGTGAATCAGTTAAGTTACGTACATAGGCCCTTTAAATGTAAATCTTGATTGCATGTACACTTTATGAGGGAATATTGGATCAATTGAAATTAATAATGACCGTGTGTTTCCTTTTCAGAGGGGTGACAATTAATCATGCACAAAAATTCAAGAAAAGGTTGAATTTAAAATGGGTGAGAGTGATGGTATGTACACTTTGATGTTTATTATCACTTTTAGTATAAATTTATTTATCTAAGTCAACAAGTTATATATGTGTGTAATTGTGTATCATTCATATGTGTGTAAACTGTATTATGCTTGGATTAGAGAGTTCTTACTGTATTAGGTAACAAACGCAACTGGTGCTTTACTATAACTTCTTCTTTATTTTTACTAAATCTTAGTTTGTATTTACTGTCTATTTAAATTGAATATATGCAGTGCCCTAAGCAAACAGGAGGAGTTGAGTGTGGTTACTTTGTGATGAAGTACATGAAGGATATCGTATCAGACGTGAATCTGTTGAAACGGAATGTGACTGCAATTGAGAACTTTTGATTTTTATTAATTAAATTAGTGTATGCTGTAATCATAGTAAGTGCTAATTAATTTAATTTTACATTGAAATTCTCTACCATCAAGGAGTATACTGAAGATGATATTTTACATGTGCGTGAGGAGTGAGCTTTGTATGTTGCTACCTTGATAAAAAAGTAAGTTCACATTTCAAATCTACTGAAAATAAGTTTCATAATATATGGATGTAATATTATTTTTTGTTTGATGTGTATTGTGCAATTGGATCCTACAAAGGCTTGATGAAATGCACGGGGAGATGCATTTCAGATTATATTGTTGATGGCAGTTAGAATGTTCGGTGTTATGTTATGTATGTAGAATGTGACTTTTGATAACTAAACATTGCTACCTGTTGGGAATGTGACTTGGTTTGTATTTTAGCATCTTCAATGATGCTTGAGAGTAGGTTTTTTGCTGGATTCTATAGCCGTTTTTTTTGCAAGAATTGTATGCCGTTTTTTTTTTGCGGGAATGTTGTTGGAATTTTTCTACATCTTTAATCCAGCGGTAGGAAATGTAAATGAACAAGAATGTGAAAGTGTCACTGAATATTATATCTTAAATGATGTGTTTTGGGTATCCATTAATTTTTGGATGTTATTGTATTTATGAATGAAGTAAACACTCAATTGGATTTCTATTAAAGCTATCATAGACATATATTTAGGCCTATATGTGGATCGTTGCGCTCACCGCTACACTAAAAGCAATCGCTGACAGTGTAACACGCTCCTCCCCCTTTATAGCACAAACGAAGCGCCGCGCGGTTCAATTGCACCGGCAAGCTGGCAGATTGCTAGCACCGCATACCCGCGGCCCAACAATCTCCCCCCAGCACCTGCCAGCCTCAACTGTGCAGCATGCTGTTGCCGGGGGTCGAACCCGTGACCTTGGCTCTGATACCACTTGTGGATCGTTGCGCTTACCGCTACACTAAAAGCAATCGCTGATAGTGCAACACGCTCCTCCCCCTTTATAGCACAAGCAAAGTGCCACACAGTTCAATTGCACCGGCAGGCTGGCAGATTGCTGGCACCGCATACCCGCGGCCCAACACTATATAGGCTCAATAAATAAAACCAACCAAGTGACATTAAAGTGTCATAAAAATCTATGATGTTGAAGTATCATTAATTTTGTGATGTATTAGTGTCACAATTTGTTCTGATGCATAAATGTCATTATCTTAGACGATACATTAATGTCATAATTCATCGACACAAAACCGTTCTTGTATTAGTGACACTTTATTTAGTGTCACTGGCCGACAATTTTTCTCGACACTTTTTAAGTGTCACATAAAGTATCTGTGGCACTAAATTAGTGTCACTATATGTCATTTTTCTACTAGTGACTAGCCCACCTCTGACTTTATCAGTGTATGAATCTCCTCCTCCTTTGCCCAAGGAAACACAACAAAGACAAACCAACATTCACAAGAAATACACTGTGCTGAGTGATAAGGTCAGAAAAAGAACTATGGACCTTCTTTTAGCTCAGTCCAGCAATGGCAAATGAGTAAAGGCATATTAAATGTTATAGCAGCTGAATTAAATGTATGCAGGAGAATAATGTTCTAAATTTGGAACAAAGTGAAGACACAAAGGCAGGTTGGAGCAGACATTGATGTGCATACTAAATGGAAAGGAAGTAGTGGCAGAAAAATAAAATCAAATTGACATGGAAAAGGTGAAAGGCATCCCTATATACAGAAGAAGCACAATGAGGTCACTAGCAACTGAATTAAATGCTTCCAAATCTACAGTTCAAAGGTTACATTGGTCAAAATGAAGTCAATTAAAAGACATTCAAATGCAGTGAAGCCTGTTTTAACATATACATGTATGAGGTTAAGAATGCAGTTTTGTTTAAGCCATTTAATTCCTCGTACAATTTCATCAAACCCCACTTTTCATGATTTTAATTAGTATGTGCATATAGATGAGGAGTGGTTCAATGTAACCAGTGAAAAACAGAATGTGTATATGTAGTCCAAAGTAAAAGATTCATACTGAAAGTTATGTTCCTAACTGTTGTAGGGAGACCTGTACTAGGGGAAAACATAGAGGTGTTGTGGGATGGTAAGATTGGGGTTCTCCCTTTTACTTATCAATATATGGTTAAAAGATATAGAAAAAATGGACAAAGGGGGAACACTAGTGAAACAGCCAATTCTTAATGTGACAAGAGAAGTCATACAACAATTCATGATCGAAAAAGTATTTTTGGCCATCAACTGAAATGGCTTAAAGGAGCTAGTAAACGCGTCATAATTCAATAAGATAACGTTAAGACGCACATTGAATGTCATGATACAGACTTTGTTGCTGCTGGAATAGAGGGTGAATGGGTTATTGAGTCAACATGTCAGCCACAAAACAATCATGATCTTAATGTGTTGATTTGGGGTTGTTTAGGGCTATTGATGCATGAAAGCATAAAAAGGGTGCAAAAACTCTAGATGAATTAGTGCATCACGTCGAACAATCATCCTACGAGTTGGAGTTGATAAATCTCAATCAAGTGTGGTTGAAATTGCAAAATGTCATGGTGGAAAGGCTAAAATGTAAGAGACGTAACACACATAAACTGCCTCACATAGGAAAGCAAAAGGTTAGAGAAACTAGGCATTTTGCCTAATGCTATTTCTGTGGACCCTATGTTGGTTGAGAAAGTTATTGCTTATATGAGGTTACCAATGAAACTAGTGCTGACAGGAGCTTATCAAACTAAGTTCATACCTCAATATTCTTGTTATCTTCATTTATGAACTTATTTGTTCAAGGAAGTGTTATTTTGATGGGGATATAGATTATTTTTTGCTCACCTAGTCCATTTAACTTAGTTCTTTTTTTGCTTAACAAGAATTGTTTGTATTTTATTAAAGTGTGTTTACTATGTTTACAAACAATGTTGGTATTTTAAAACCAGTTTTTTATGATGAATCTTAATCAAAATAGTTATCTTTTTCTTTTGAATTTACTTTGAGAGTCTAATTTCCTACACTTGTCCTACATTAAAATTGTAGGTAAGTGGCTTTACACAAAAGTGCATGTTGAGAGTAAACTAACTGTATTTGTATGCTCAATAAAGACTTGGTTATTTGTTTGCTTAATTGGCCTTATTTGCAAACATTTTGGAACACTTATTGCACACCACAAAGCAAATTAACGCAAAATTTAACTTAGACATTATGCAAAATTCACCTCTTATTACATTTGAGAATGCTAAAACTCAACTTTAACTAATAAATGATCAAACAGTAATCTGGAAACAAATCAGTCAAAATTCTCAAATTGCAACAATCAAACAATATGTTTTCACATAACATAATAGTAAATAGTATTTTTTACCTATCTGTAATGCATGAATCCCAACTAGGGAGGTAAATATTTATGAAGTGATCAATTGATTTTTGAAGGTACGGGTCCCTATTTGTTTTTGTAATCCTGAGGATGACTTTATGAATCTAGAATCTGTTTTCAACTTGTTCTTCGTGAGTATGTTGAACATCATCATCTTCTTCCTTCGAATTTAGCATATGGGAGGAGGCTTGAGTTTCTCGACATATCACCATCCGTTCTTCTTTCTCCGGAAAGATCTCTGTCATCATCTTCGTAGGGTAGTGGTGCTTTCTGAAATGATAGACCAAAAGCTGAGTGAGTTTGGAGGGTAAGTGTCCATAGAAATAAAAGACTGAGTAGAAAGACAAAGGGCAAGTGAGGAGAGAAGTGAGAGTAAGGAAAAAGATGATCTGGCAAAGGGGTTGGGGTGTGTTTTAAAGTGTACACACATATGGAAGGGATATTTTTAAACTTTAGGACGACGAGGTCTTTTACCATATTTTTGTTTGTTGAAAAAGATAAATGAGGATATTTTTTGGGACATCTAAAAGGGGGAATATGACAAAGACCAGCGGAACGAAAGGAGAACTATACTGGGAGGTACTACCCGATATAATTTTAGAGCATCCTAGAGTGTTTTACTAACCTAAGATAATAAGATTGTGGAAGGAAATAAGTTTTGGATCGAAATATTAACGAAAGTTTGGAAATCCCAACACTCATGGTCCAACTTGCTAAAAATAGTAGAAGAGAAGGAATAGCTCATTCGAATTAGAGCACCAATATGAAGGAAGAGAAGATATAACATACCTTGAGTCAGATTATTAAAACAATAGGCACGCCATGATCATACCCAAACACAAGAGGTCCAACTTGCTCATAATAGTAAGGTGATGTGAGTTTTCTCGCACTTAAATTGATGGTAGAATAGTGGTAAAAGTACGAATATCGTCTCCACAGGGACGGGCAAAAGGGAATCAAGAATTAATTAAATTCAACGATTAAAAATAATTGAAATAAATGCGTCGTGCGAGATTGGTTGTTTGAATTGAAATTAAACTAATGCGAATGAACGCTTAAAATAAAAGATTGGTTTATCTCTAATTAATGACGAAGGGAGCAGGGATTGATTCCGGGGTAATAGGATTTCTGGCTGATCAGGCTTAATCACATGAAATTAATTTAATTGAGCCTAGCTAATCATTACTAAGTTCTTACCGCTCTCGCGGCGTAGAGTACAATAATTTAGGGGACCAGACTGATCTCTCACGCAACAGGATCCTAAATTATTGCCAAGACGAGCGAGCTTACGACCCCTTAATCGCTACTAATCTCTTAGCGAATGATTAAGTGTGTGTGAATGTGTTTTAGAATAAACTAGATCTCTCTTAATTCATTCTACAACCAATTGTAATTCTAGCCGCGGTTCCAGGTTACAAAAGATATCAGTTAAATTATTCAAACACAAATTAAACGACATTTATGCAATTAATCCATCAAGAAACTAGCCATACATTGTGATTAACCCCTTCATCGATCCCAAATCCCTAATTAAAACTACTCCCGACTCACAATTGAATAATCAATAGAATTGGGAAGAATAGAAATAATTGTCATTAATTAAAAATAATGAACTTACAAATAATCTCAGGGTTCTTTAAGAAAACAACGTAAAAACGCAAGTAAATTCGTCCCCAGACCTCTCCGTAATGTTCGTCACCCTTAATGGGAGTGGAGAGGCCTTATTTAAAGAAAAAGAGTCAAAATTCGATCAGGTTAAGGGTTTCGGCGTCGGGCACGACCGTGCCTGCGACCGTGCCTCTCGAGCATATCTCACATTTCGCCTCCAGGCACGGCGTACGTGCCTTGTCAAGCACGACCGTGCCTAGCTTCCAGGGAATGGGTTCTTCGATATGCTACAAGCACGACGTGCGCAATCTCTCAAGCACGACCGTGCCTGGCCTCCAGCGATCAGGTACCTCGCTACACTATAGGCACGACGTGCCTATCTCCCCAGGCACGACCGTGCCTGGCCTTTTTCATCGTCTGGTCAACTTATAGGCATGCACGGCGTGCCTGGCTGCTGGAAACGGCCGTGCGTGGCATTTTCTTCCTCTTTTTTCTTCGTTTCTTCTTTCAAATGCTCCCGAATGCTCCCGAGTCGACCCCCAAGGTCTTCTCTTCATCAATTCTTCACCGTGGACCTCTCGAAAACCTCCAAAACTCTAGAAACTCTCTTGAATGCTCATCAACTCCTTTTAATTTCTTTCTCAAGGGCCGGTGCCGGATCTCATTACCTGATTTTCGACTCCAAATAACAAAAACTCGAACCAACGTCTGGTACACATAACTTGAACTAAAATTGATATTTGTGACACCTAAGAGTTAGGAAAAACATCAAAATCCGATCCCAACACGCATCAAATGTGTGTTGTAATACAGACTTATCATATTCCCCCACACTTAAACTTTTGTTTTTCCTCAAACAAACTGAACACCGGGATTTACGATAATCACCACACGAAATTCCAAACAATCAGCATGCACACGTAGTCAAAGGTATATTCACGGAACAGAAAGACTAAATCAAGAAAATTCTTACCTAAACTACATCTTTGTACTCTAGCTAACTTAAATGACAAAATTATTCACAACATCTTTGAAGTAATGGCAGCAAACACTAGTGAATTAGCTACTGATCAGAAGGACTTGTGAAGACGGTGGTGAAAAGTGGATGGGCAAGAATAAAAATTCCCTTTCTTTGAGAGTTTTGGAATAATCTGACAAAAACTTAATGTGTTCAGGAATTTCAGGGCTATTCTTAGGATCAGGGAGTTCAGTAGGACACAAATTAGGAATTATCATTTAATCCTATGCAAAGAGTAGACATGGTGTACAACTAAGCTAAACCGTCGTGGCACATTGGTGCTTTGACGTATACTTGAAGTACGCTAAGGACTAATGCTAATTTTGCAATAGCCTCCACGTTCTATTAATTAAGTTCAGTTTTCCTTGTCATGTTGACACGAAAACACCATTTCTTTCGAAAGACACCCAAGTCTCATCTTATTGTGCAGAACACTTATGCTTTTTGACCGGGTCTCCCATTCTCTTTTTCGCAAGGTAAGAGGTCTAGCTATATTAATTTTTTCGATTTTCAGATTTTCACTAGACATTACCCCATTCTAATCTCGGTCTCACCAAGGAAATTTAGAAATTAAAGTTCAATTAATCCAGGTGAATCCATGTCTACAATGCAATCCTCGAAAATATCAAGTTCCGAAAAAGTGACCGCTCTTACCCCATTTGGGGCATAGGAACAGTGCCAAAAAATGGCTCCTACTAAAATTCCCTAAACTTAGCAAATTAATCCCCTAGTTCTCTAAACATCAAGACTTCGTCAGAATTATTCACGGGTAAGGAAATAGGCCATTTTGCTATGGAGCTCAATTAATTGGGTAAAGAATAAAATAGTCACGCTCAAAATGGCTTCTCCTAAAGGACTTATTCAGGTCAGGTGGATGATGTGTGAAACGATTCAATGGGTGAGTAATGCTTTCATCCTTTGAACAACTAGATTACATGAAAGCAATTTAAGCCTAAACACTTCAAGGATGTCCTAAAAGCATAGTCAAAACGCTAATTAGCTCACAAAGACACAGTTTAAAAAAAATCAAAAAAATGACATGTCTTTCCTATGAATATACAACTAACACCTGCTTGTCCACTTGACTTTTTTATTTTCTTTTAGCAACTGTTTATTTGCTTCTTTTTTTCCTTTCCCTCCTATAATGTCCAACCTTTTTAATAAATTTTAATAAATCAGGTAAATGTACCCGACATTTACCCCGCCACTTCTGGTGGGTTTTCGGGCCAAAAAAACAACTAACACCTGCACATGCTAACTCTATTAATCCCATGTAACGACTACTGTCCCAATGCCCAATTCACTCCCCCACACTTAAACTTTGGCATCTCCCTCACTGACCAAAAATGCATTATGCACAGGGGGTAAAGAGGAAAGGGTCACGCGTGCTCAAATCGCAACTCAAGTTAGGCAATACATACAAGCGAGTAAAAGTCATAGAACTTCCCTAGTAGCGTTGGTCGGTGCAGAAACAAAACTGAGTCAACTGTGAGCCTCGGTGCGTCTTCCAAAAAGCAAAAGAAAGCTGCAAGCATAATTCAAAGAACAAAACGTATAGCAGTCTAAAGAGTAACAAGTGATGAGTGTGATGATGAATTGTACACTAATCCAAAAAAAATGAGAAAAATACAAAAGTTAGAGGAGAACATCTAGGTCACGTAAGTTACTGCTCTGGAGGAGGTGGGGGCTGGTATCCAGCAATGAAGGCACTCCAGCTGGACTCTAAAGAAGTGAGGCGGTCATCAATGTCCGAAAACTAGGACTGGATCTGTGAATAATGCAGTTGTTGCTCCTCCCTCATTTGTTGCTGAAAGTCTAGCTATCCTTATCTCCATTGGCTAAAGTGATCTTGCTGCTGATGTTGCCACTCACGCTATTCCTGGTGTCATGCACGCTGCTCCTGCTGCCAAGCCCACTGCTCCTGATAGAATCGCTGATAAATATCCTCCTGATGTCTATGCACCCCCGCCAAAGTATTTGGATACACGTGACCGAATGGGTGTGGCACATATGGAGCGTCATGTATCACATCATGGTCCATGTCATCGCCTCCCTCATGCTCCTCCTCCTCCTCTTGGAGGCCTGCTCTGCCCCCTCAACATAGGGCTCAATGGCCTGTTGATGTCCCTGATGTCCTCCACCTCCATATTCCCGTGCCTCCTCATGTTGTACCCTCCCCCAACTCCCGTGTGCATAGGGGGGAGTGTCGTCAATGGGAGATAAGTGGTGACCCTCTACAGCCCTCTCAACTGATCATCAAAGCTCGTTACTTTTAAGAGGCGAGTAATGTACGGGCCGGATTAGAGTGCCTTGATGTTGAAGGTAGACCGGCGGTGGAAAAGGCCGGCAATAATGGACCCCATGTGAGGCTTCTTGTTTTGAATCATGCAGTACATGCAGAGGAGATCTGTAGTGGAGACCTTTCCCCCTACCTCGTCTTTTCCGGTAAATGTGGAGTTTGGGAGTGCGTGGATGACTCCATACTTTTGGGGGTATAGGTATGTGCTAGGAGACTCCCGGGGCTTGTACGTGGAGCCCCCTCTCGTGATAGACTCCCAAAATGCCTGCCTGTTTACATCTGGTGGCAATTCACATCAGCCAACATCACCCCTTGTGCCCTCTTCAACTTCATCAAAGCCTAGGGCCGTCTCAATACGGGTGGCTGACGTGGTAAGATTCTGTCCAAAAGCCTGAAATCTGATGTGCCTCTTGAACATGTTGTGCTCGGGAATGTGTTTGGGCACCTTCATGGTGGCCAATACTTCACATGTCACTACCTTGTATGTCGGCTCTTGGATGCTGAAAAACAGATGACGCCACCAGCCCCTCCGAAGCAAATATCTGACCTCATCAGTAAGCCTGGCTGCATTCAGTGTTGGCTCGTGAGGGTAGAACATCGGGCCCACTTCCTTCACTACTAGAAAACAGCCTTACAGTGACACTTCGTTAGTGACACTATTCGATTTAGTGTCAGAAACTGACGACATAACTGAAAATTTACACATAAGTATCGATGTGTGTTTTCTTGCACTTAAATTAATAGTAGAATAGTGGTGAAAGTAGGAGTATCGTCTCCACAGGGACGGACAAAACGGAATTAAAGATTAACTAAATTCAGCGATTAAAAATAAAATAAAATAAATGCATCGTGCGAGATTGATTGGTTGAATGGAAATTAAACTAATGCGAATGAGCGAATAAAAATAAAGATTTGGGTTCTTCTTGATTAACGACGAAGGAAATAGGGATTGATTCCGGGGTAATCTGATTTCTGGCAGATCATGCCTAATTACATGAATTTAATTTAATTGAGCCTAGCTAATCAATACTAAGTTCTTACCGCTCTCGCGGCGTAGAGTACAGTAATTTAAAGCACCAGACTGATCTCTCATGCGACAGGATCCTAAACTATTGCCAGGACGAGCGAGGTTACGGCCCCTTAATCGCTACTAATCTCTTAGCGAACGATTAAGTGTGTGTGAATGTGTCCTAGAATAAATTAGATCCCTCTTAATTTATTGTACAAGTAATTGTAATTCTAGTGGCCATCTAGGTTACAAAAGATATCAGTTAAATTATTCAAACACAAATTAAATGGCATTCATGCAATTTAAACCATCAAGAAACTAGTCATACATCGTGATCAACCCCTTCATCAATCCCAAATCTCTAATTAAAACTACTCCCGACTCATAATTGAAGAATGAATAGAATTGGGAAGAATAGAAATAATTGCCATTAATTAAAAAGTAGGAACTTACAAAGAATCTGAAAGAATAGAAACAACCAGGGCTAAAAAGCTCTCAAATTCGTCCTTAAGCTTGCTCTCAAAGTTCCATCCCCCTTAATAGGGTTAGGGAGGTGATATTTATAGGAAACAAAGAATTTGGGCTTAATTAGGGCAAATCGGGGCCATGCACGCTCGTGCCTGGGATCGTACCTGCGGAGGAGACGCGAATTTCGCATAGAGGCACGATCGTGCCTCCCTGCCAGACACGATCGTGCCTGGCATCCAGCGGCTTCGTGAATTTGTTCTTCGGGCACGATCGTTCCTAGGCCCAGGCACGGTCGTGTCTGGCCTATCCTTGACCGTTTCACGCTGTTTCTTGCTCCAAACGCTCCCGGATGCAAATAAGATCAATCCAAATGCTCTTTCTTCATCAGAATTTCGTCGTGAATCTCCCGGTGACCTTCAAATCTCTCAAATCTTCCTCGAATGCTTCCAAACTCTTCCCTATTGGCTCTTTAAGCGCCGATGCCGATCTCTAACTTCTTCAATTCAGCTCCAAATGCAACAAAACTCGACCCAACGCCTGATAATCACAACTTGAGCTAAAATTGAGACTTGCAACACCTTAAGGCTAGGAAAATCATCAAAATCCGACTCTAACACGCATCGAATGCGTGTTATAATACGAACTTATCAAGTATCACTAATTTCTGACACAATAACATCACCATTTAATAGTGACACTCAAGGTGAAAAACGGGGTCATATTCATAATTTATGAAAATATTTTTTTTGAAGAAGGGTTTATTTTATAAATTTTAACCCTACTAACCCTTAACACAAATTTTTTAAAGAGTAATTTGAACTACCTATTCTACTCATGGGCCGACATCTGACATTTCAACGCAATCAAGTTTTTTAGTCTTTACGTCTAAGTTTCCACCTGCGCTTTCCTTCTTTCTACCCTAATTCTTCCATCTCCATCGATTATCGATTTCTTTGGCCCGGCCACGTGACTCCACCGCCGCCCTCCAACACAATTGGATGCACTACAGTCGCCTGTATGCCATCGCTACTCGTTGAACGCCTGTAAACCGGAGCTTGTATGCCATCGCTACTCGTCGAACGCACTACAACTGCCTGGTAGGCTGGACGCCATTGCAACTTGTCTGATGCTCCTTACAACCTTGTGACCTTTCCCTAGCTACTTGCAGACTGAATCGACGAGTCTTCTGCTCCTTCTTTGGATTCTCTCTGACGAACGGAGATGCCGACTGGTAGGTACTCGACCTCTCATTTCGTCCCTTCTCTCGTCTTAAATTCAACCCCAAGCTGCAAACTCCTCAATTCTTAAATTTCCTTATCCTCTAATCCTCTCGCCCTTCGTCATAACCAAGTCTCCGATGAGGCAACTTGGACGGACAGAGGCCATATGACATAACAACCACGGCCGCCTAGATTTGTTCATCGTAGGTATATGTTATCATTTTATTGTGAGTTTTAGATTGCCTCGTGTGTATAACAATCAAAATTCAGGGTTGTGTTGAATTTTCGTTAATAATATTGTTTTGTTATTGATTATTTCAATTCAAATGTTCAATTTCCCTGAAATAATCTTTGTGGTGATTTTTATAAATATAAATTTTCTGCTCCTCTTTAAGTTCGCAAGAATGTTTTCCTTTATGTTTTGGTTCTTTAATCATCCTATTGAATATGAAGAAGTAATTACTTAGGAAATGACTCAAGGTTTATTCATGAGATACTTCTAAAATTACTCTAGCCATATTTCCTAATACTCTTTTCCATCGTTAACCTGTTTTCAGGAGTTCTTGATAGCCTAAATAAAGTGTGTTAGGTAAGTATTGTTTTTTCACATTCTATTTTGTGTTACTTTTTGTATGTATATGAGTGTAGCTAGAGTGTGGGAAGTAACCTAGGTCTTACACATGAATGATGCGTTTTAAATTTTCAGGTTTGTGCCCGTTCTGTAGCTCATGTAGTCCGTACAAATCCGGGTCTTAAGTGTTTCATAGCCAGAGATTGCAGACAATTTGTGCAAGAGGAAGGCAAGAATGAGGCAGACAAGTGCAATGCTTTCTCGTGTCATTACAGTGAGTTGTACCACGAATTTGGAAGTCATGCCAATAGGAGGAAATTGGTGTTGGATGGGGATTTTCATTGCTTTCTTTTGAGGTTTTGAGGCCTGCAGTTAGAACGTTAAGGACAATAAATATAGGTTTAGGTGGAGCTATAGGCAAAGATGGACTGAAGATGTTACCCACTCTTTGTCCCGAGCTCGAGACTTTGATACTTCATTTCCAGGTAATATCTAACTCTGTCATACTAAATATTGCAAAGTCTTTCGAAAACTTGCAAGTTTTGGCTCTTTGCTATTGCATTGGTGAGATTTCATCTTCAAGCTTTAAATTCAGCATGCCAAATTTGAGAAAATTGAAACTGGAAAGAGTTACTCCTAGGATGACCAATGAAGATCTGCTCATTCTCACTGAGAATTGTATAAATTTGATTGAACTTGCCTTGGTGGGTTGCTCACTTCTTAATTCAGAGTCCCAAAATATTATTTCACTTGGTTGGCCTGGATTTAGAGCGGTCCATCTAGAGGCGTGTGGTGAAGTGACAGTTTGTGGTGTCACATCACTTTTGGAATGTCATGCCCTTGAAGATCTCTTCTTACGGCATAATGGTACTGGAATGCAGAGGGAATGTATTTCTCAAGTTGCGTCAAAGATGCCACTACTTCGAAGGATATCACTTGATGTTTGTGATGTCGTGGATCATGACTTTGACATCCCAAATTTCACTAACAGGTATCCGTTAAGTACTGTGAATCGTGATTCAAGTACTGTGATAACGTTAATCGTTTTATTATAATGCATTTAAATGTAACACTTGATTAGTACAACTATATATATGTGTGTGTCTTCCATATTATATCCAGATTACTTTCCCAGAACTGGATTTCCCTGACCTAAGGCAGTGCAGCTATCTGCATTCTTTCTTGAATAGTGAGCTTAACTCGATTTGTGATTTTATTTTATTTAGATTAAGTCACCTTTTTTCCTCCCCATAAATAATAAGAATACATATACTAAAAATGGCACTGGATCATATATGATGTCTGAGGACAGATGTTTCTTGAAGGCTTGCTACTACATGCGTGGCTTTTGAAGCTGATCAAATCTCAGGGTTGCCTTGAAGAAACTATGGGGAAAAGGGAGCACGTGTTGTTGATTACTTCCATAAGAATACCGTTGTCAAGGCTTGGCACTTAAAGATTGTTTTATGTCCTATAGACCGTGTTTTATCTCAATTCTAGCTATAATTGTAACTTGTTTTGTTTTTTGAGTTGTACTTAATTGCATCTATGATTTCCGGGTATGTCCCTATGAATCATGTACATTCATATGAAATCTTAAGATATAAATAAAATGTTTGAGATTTTGGTTAATGTTAATGTTTTGGTTTATTTGTATTAATATATATACTAATATAATATATATAATATAAATATATATAGTAATGAATCATGTACATTGACACTTTTTTAGTGTCACAAAAACTTTTAGTAACACTAATTTGGTGTCACTGTAAAACATTTTTCCAGTAGTGTATGTATATATCACTAAAAAGCATGATGCATTGGTATCACAAAAATCCTTGTTACGTATATATCACAGATCTCTATGATGTTTATATGTCATAATTTTGTGACACCAAAGTGACTTGTTAACGGTGACACAAAATTTAGCGTCACTAGCCCCACTTTTCTGTGACACTTTCAGAGTGTCACTAAATCATTTAGTGACACTAATTAAATGTCACTATAAGCCATTTTTTTACTAGTGCTTCTTCATTAGCTCAACATAATCCAACATGTGCTTATCTTCGATAAATTGTGGTCGATAAGGTGCATCTGGGGCCTTGCTAGAACTGGCACCTCTGACATCTCGAGATCTCTTGATGTTCTTGGTGCGAGCCATCTGCAAAAAGGATTTAAGCAAAAGAATTCCAACGGAGCTCTCAAGTGTTAGGATTGAGCAAAATCGTAGAAGACTAATGGCCCCGTCAGCAACAATGAGTCACAAGTATCACCATAAGCCAAAACAACCCCAAGTTTAACGAGAATAGCTAAAAAGTTGGATTTTTTTCAAAGAAAAATTCTTTGGCTAAAATCCAAATTTCTAACGACACACGGTGTAACAGAGTCACATATCAAGAATAAAGCATCACAGCATATTTTCAAGTTAGGATTCTTCCCAAAAGAATTAGCTAGAATGTCAAAATTGGGGAAAGAATCCCAAATTCTCAAATTTGACAAAATTGAGCCGAAAATATTGAGGATTCTTCAACAATAGGGATCACAACAACACTAGAACAGTAATATCATGAGAAAGAGCCACACTTTAAGCAAGAAATTCAAAATCCCCAAATTTTCGCACTTTCAACAATTTATAAACCTAAATTGGTCAAATCTCTCAAAAATTAGGGATTTCATGGAATAATAGCTTCATAACACTCAGAGAACATCAAAAGCATGAAATTAAGCAACAATTTAATCTGGGAACGAAAAATCCCTAATGTTCGAGCATATGAATTTTCGGACCAAAAAGCTTGAAAACCTTCATTAACGGAGAAGAGAGCTTGGGAGAGAAGGAGAATACCTTGCTGGGAGTGAGGATATATAGAGAGAGAGGGGTGTTTCCGGAATATACGTCAGAGAAGGGTGGCTGCGTGACTGTGTCGTTCGTTTGCACGTCGGATAGGGGGGTTGCGTGCTTCGGTCGTTCGTTCGTGCGATTGAAAAGAAAAGAGGAGCGTTGGGGCTTTGTTCAAGTTGCAGGGGTATTTTTGAAATTTTTACCCAGGCACGGTGTGCGTCACTTGCCAGACACAACCGTGCCTGGGTTCCAGCGAGTTGGTACCCCAGAATATTGCAGGCACGGCGTGTCTGCCCTTAAAATGGCCAAAACGATTTTTTTGTGGGTTTTTTTGAAAGCAAACAAACAAAGACAACAGTGCATAATTAAACTTGGGTTGCCTCCCAAGAAGTGCTATTTTTAACGTCATTTGTCCGACACAACTACGCACTCATCTCTCAAAATTTGTGACCAAGGTCACCTCACGCTCGCGATCTAACGGTCCTCTGTAGTACTTCTTCAGGTGGTGGCCGTTAACTTTAAAACGGCCCTTCTCAGGATGGTCAATTTCAATTTTACCGTATGGAAAAACTTCACTAACTACGAAAGGACCAGATCACCTAGACTTCAACTTTCCCTTAAAATTTTTCATTCGGGGATTGAATAGCAGAACTTGATCCACCTTACAAAACTCTTTGCCCTGTTTGATATGCCGATCATGATAGGCTTTGGTCCGCTCTTTACTAATTTTAGAGTTCTCATGGGCCATAAGCCTCCACTCATCCAACTCGTTGAACTGTCAAAGCCGTTTATGCCCCACCAAAGTAAGGTCCTTATTCAACGTCTTCAAGGCCCAGTAGACCTTATGCTCAATCTTAACCGGAAGGTGGTAAACCTTCCCATAAACTAAGTGAAACGGAGTAGTGCGAATAGGTGTCGTATACGCTGTACGCAATGCCCACAGTGCATCGTCTAACTTATCAGAACAATCCAGCCTATGGGTCTCAACAGTCTTTTCAAGGATGGTCTTAATGTCCCTGTTCGAATTCTCAACTTGGCCACTAGTTTGAGGGTGATAAGGGACCCCCCTTTATGTGTGACCTCGTACTTCGCCCAAAGGTGTGTCATGGGATCATTCCTAAAGTGGGTGCCCCTGTCACTAATCAAAACTCATGGCACTCCAAATCTGGAAAACAACATCTTAAGAAAACGGATCACAACTCTAGCATCATTTGTGGGCAGAGCTTCAGCCTCAACCCACTTAGAAACATAATCCACAGCAACAAAAATAAATTTATTACCTTTAGAACCCGAGAACGGCCCCATGAAGTCAATGCCCCAAAGATCAAATACTTCACAAGCCAGAATAAAATTCGGGGGCATCTCATCCCTCTTGGTAACTGCCCTGGTGCGTTGACACCTATCACATTCCTGCACAAAAGTTAGGGCATCTTTAAACAAAGTGGGTCAGAAGAAGCCACATTCCAAAACCTTACGGGCTGTCCGATTAAAAGAATAGTGTCCCCCTGTCGGTCCGGAATGACAATGTTTTAGAATTTTAGCTCCTTCACAGAGGGGAACACATCTTCTAGCAACCTGATCAGCACAAATATGAAACAAATATGGCTCCTCCCAGAAATAAAACTTAAGATTAGCAAAAAATTCCTACGTTGATGAGGTGTGTAATCAGAAGGAACAACACCCCCAACAAGATAGTTGGTGATGTCAGAAAACCAAGGCACCTCATCAACGATACGCAAAAGTCTCTCATCAGGAAAAGTACCCTCAATGTCTCTCTCACTCAAGGAATCAAGAAAGGGGTTCTCTAACCTACTCAAGTGATCAACTGTTAAATTCTCAGCCCCTTTCTTGTCCCTAATCTCAAGGTCAAACTCCTGGAGTAGTAATATCTACCGAATCAATCTAGGCTTAACATCCGATTTTTGCAAAAGATATTTGAGAGCAGAATGATCGGTGAATATCACTACTCTAGACAAAATCAAATATAGACGAAACTTATCAAGAGCAAACACAAAAACAAGCAATTCTTTTTCACTGGTAGTGTAATTTTCTTGGGCACTATCGAGAGTCTTTGAAGCATAAGAAATAGGTTGAAAATGTTTCTCTCGACGTTGCCCAAGAACAGCTCCTACGGCGTAGTCACTAGCATCACACATAATCTCAAAAGGTAATGACCGGTCAGGAGCTACTACCACCGGTGCCTTGACCGTTTTCTCCTTCAAACACTCAAAAGCCGCTAAACACTTCTTTGAGATGTCAAACGGTGTGTCCTTCTCAAGGAGTTTAGTCATGGGTCGGGCTATCATAGAAAAGTCCTGTATGAACCTACGATAAAACCCTTTGTGGCCTAGAAAACTCCTAATGGCACGGACCGAGGTCGGGGGAGGCAATTTAGAAATGACTTCAACCTTAGCCGGATCAACCTCAATCACTTTACTCAAAATTTTATGCCCTAGGACCACGCCCTCTTGGACCATGAAGTGGCACTTCTCCAAGTTAAGCACCAGATTCACTTCTCTACACCTAACTAGGACTTTCTTCAAATTTTCTAGGCATTCATCAAAGGTATTACTATAAACAGAGAAATCATCCATAAACACTTCCGTAAACCTCCCAATAAATTCCCCCAAAATAGCAAGCATACATCTCATAAAGGTAGCAGGGGCATTACATAATCCAAACGCCATCCTCCGATACCCGAACGTACCGAATGGACATGTGAATGTAGTCTTATCCTGGTCCTCTGGGGCTATGGGGATCTACAAGTATCCTGACATCCCGTCTAGGAAACAATAGTATCTATGCCCTGCTAACCTCTCTAAAATCTGATCAATGAAGGGCAGGGGAAAGTGGCCCTTTTGGGTGGCGGTATTTAATTTTCGGTAATCAATGCAAACCCGCCATCCGGTGACTGTATGCGTAGGAATCAACTCATCATTCTCATTCTTAACCACAATCATCCCCCTTTCTTGGGGACCATTTGGGTCGGACTGACCCAAGAGCTGTCCGAAATTGGGTAAATGATACCCACATCTAACATATGGATGACCTCCTCCCTAACCACCTCCTGCATATTAGGATTCAATCTTCTTTGGGGCTGCACTGCCGGATTATCGTTCTCTTCCATCAAATTTTTATGCGTGCAGAAAGAAGGACTGATTCCTTTCA